AATATAACCAAAGAAAATTAGTGCCCTGATCATGAGTAACTTAAGTGCCAAGAAGGGCTTTATTTATTACCTAACAAACTATAAAAGTGAATAGAAAGTGACCCTGCCCAACAAGTATTATGATGTATAATAGTATATATAACTGTGAAACGTTTTCACTTTTATGAAAACATAAAAATGGAAAAATGTTTATTACTTTTTTGTCAGCTCATCATACATATAGTATTATATATTTAATCAAGGATAGGTTTATGCCAACAGAGCATTAATAGTTTGCTTGTATAGTATTTTAATGTTTAAAAACTCTGTATGTGTGTTTGTACATGTTGTGAACTTGTTCATGTGTGTGTGCCCACGTTGTGCGTGTGCCCCTGAACACGTGTATGCATGGTTTTTCATAAACATATTCATTTATTCATGTATGAATAAATTTGACTATTTCCAGCTACGAGACGGACTGTTAGAGACAGATCCCCTGTTGGGAAGGTACTGTAGCACCTCTGAACCCGCCCCTATCAGGACGACAGGCCCCGTGGCCCAGGTCAGGTTTCACTCTGACGAGAGCCTCAGTGACAGGGGCTTCCACATCACCTACTCTGAAGTGGACGGTAATATTGCCTCTCTCTCTCTCTCTCTCTCTCTCTCTCTCTCTCTCACACACACAAAATGCAATATTTCAGTATTTTTGATGGAAAAAGTGATAACTTATAGCAAGATTATAAACATCAGGTAATATCATGTAAATAGCATGGGCTTCATTTTCTCATTCAAAAAGGTCAATGAAGGTTTTGTTAATAACTTCAATCCTCTTTCCCAGTGTCTCACTTTCTCAGGCTCATAAAAAAAATAATTTTCCTATTTTTCATCTCTGATGAATCCTTCAGGTCCAGTCACCTGTGGTGGAGACTACACCTCCGGCAATGGCGTCATCATCTCTCCCAACTACCCCAACCCTTACAACCACAATGACCAGTGTATATGGACGGTCACTGTGCCGGTCACGGAGGTCATCACACTGACCTTTACCAACATGGACCTGGAGGCCCACTCCAACTGTCAGTTTGACTATGTGGAGGTGAGATATCCCTGGGTTGTAAATATTTTAAGTGATTCATTTTGATGAATTGATAAAATGTGCATGTACTCTGCCCTCTTCTGGGTCTTCTGGAAGAGGAACAGAATTTTTCAAGTTTATACTGATGGGCATCTAATTTTTTCTGTCAGAATGTATTTTAATATTTTCTTGTGATGAATTGACGACATGTGTGGATACTTACGAATATAGTATAGCTTGTATTAGTGATGATTTGTGCGAGATATTCATTGTCAGAAATCAATTTCTGTATTATTTGCTTGATATTAATTAAAAGATTATATAAGTTCTTAACAGTGTGCTTCAAATACTGATTAAAAACATGTTGGTGATGAATATTTTGTTGACCATTTTTTGACATTCACCATTTAAAGTCTGATTGGTCAGTTGTCCAGTGACAGAAGTGAACAACAACAACTGTTTGCAGTTTAAAATGCACTCCATATGATCAGTGTCATTGTTTTTATTTTTATAAATGGGGAAAATCAAACTGTTTATTTGCAGGTGAGGGACGGAGGCAATGAGTACGCAGATCTTGTAGGGCGTTACTGTGGCACACAGCTCCCAGCCACGTTTGTTTCCAGTATCAACAGACTCTGGGTGAAGTTCAAGTCTGACGTGTCCAACAGAGGGTCAGGGTTCAGAGCCACCTGGAATGTGGGTAAGAAAATGCACATTTTTTATTCTTATATTGCATAAATTTATTTTTTCTTTAATATAATATATTGTATTGGATTATATTGTATTGTATTGCCTTGACAGTAGTGCATTTGATTACAAAATTTTAAAAAATCAATCTAAACATCAATTTTTATGCAGACAAATTTTAAGAGCCATGTTTCAAAATCTGGAATTATTGAACTGATTGACAATTTTGAAAATGAGCGTCTTGACCACCAACGAAGTTTTTGCTTAGACGTTACTCTCTTAGTTATCAGCCTGACTCAAAATTGGACAGATTTTGATTTGGTTAGAATTGAGCTAACTTGAAAGCAATAAGGATGTGGTGATCCTTTATTTGATTAATAATAATAATAATAATAATAATAATAATAATAATAATGTTGGGTAGGTGGAGATCTGTGTTCACTGGATTCTTCTCGAGATTAAACAGATCTAGCTAATGACATTATTCTGTATTCCAGCATGTGGCGGCAGGTTCACCACCCCCACAGGCAGCCTCCATTCCCCGTACTTCCCTGGTAACTATCCCAATGAGAAGGAGTGTATCTACATCATAGCACAGCCCAGAGGGACCAGAATTACTCTCACATTCCAGAACTTTGATATTGAGGCAGGGAACAATGATAACTGTAATTATGATTACTTGGAGGTGAGGATCGTGTTTTTCTTCTTTAATTTATATTAGATGAATACAACAGTGTAAGAAGTATTTTTAATGGTCATTTGGCCTAGTGTAAAAAACTTAATCCCACTTTTAATGTAATAAACTATCAGGCCTGACATGATTTCATATTTAAATTCTCCAGGTACGAGATGGTAGTGGCCCAGAAGCCAACCTTATTGGACGCTACTGTGGCAATGCTGTGCCAGCACCAGTGACATCTAGTGCCAATAATATGTGGTTAAAATTCAAGTCCGATGGCTCTGTACAAAACCATGGCTTCCTGGCCACATATGAAACCACTGACACAGGGACAGGTAAGGAAAGTGGGAAATGAAATAATGAAAAACTATCTGATTGAGAATTTTCAGAGGAAAGATTTTTCAACTAGCAATTGTCTAGTGAAGTTTGTTTTCGATTTGTAATTCTGTTGTATAAAGAATATTTTCCAAAAACATTGCTGAGGAGACAGAAGGCCATTAAGTCAAGAACATTCCATATATCTTGCCAGTTTTAAGTTAATTATCAGGAAAACTCTCCATATCGTGTTTTACCTTTCTTTTGCTTTCCATTACTTCAGTGATTAATGGTCACATTATGGCCTTGTTTTTCATTCAGATTGTGGTGGTAGCCTAACTGGTCAGGCTGGGTCATTCCACAGCCCTGGTCACCCCAATGTCTACCCCCATGGGGTCAACTGCACCTGGACAATCACTGTGGACCCTGGATATATTGTCCGGCTGACCTTCCTGACTTTTAGCATGGAGGCTGATGCTAACTGCCGCTATGACTATGTTGAACTTTTTGACAGTGGAAATGAGACCTCCCCCATTGGAAATTCATTAGGAAGGTATGTTTTGTGAACTATCAAGGTATTACACATATCTTCTAAACTTAAATAAATTTTAAAATCTAGTAAAACGCAAGTGCAGACCTCCATCAAAACAAATAATTGACTATTAACCATTAAATTTTTAATAAATCATCACCAAAATCTAATCACTTTTAAGTTATTTATTAATTTGAAGCATTTCTTATATATCCTGTAAATTTCTTCAAAATTCATCAATAGCTTTTTGAGTAAGGCTGATGTTGAATAAATGAATAAACAAACTGAGTTGTAAAAGAACCTTTTTGGCAGAGGTAAAGATGTACACTGGTGTAGTTATCTGCTAGTTGTGCCATAATTTTCTACCCACAATTCCAGGTACTGTGGCTCCACCATGCCTCCCGCCAGGCAGTCCAGAGAGAACAGCCTCACCGTTGTCTTGGTAACAGACTCTAGTGTGTCACACGAAGGGTTCGCTGCCAGTTATGTGGCACTCAATGGCAGTGTGTGTAAGTAACTGATATATTTTATTTGGTGACATTTGCACCTTGTGAAGCTGATGAAAATGTACACAGTTGATAAGCAATACAGTAATTACTGTCTTTTCAGAGGGGGATATTGTAATTTTTTTAAACATTGTATTTTTAAGTCATAAATTCTTAAAGTTAAAACGTTACTATTGAGTGGTAGCAACAAAAAATTAAAAAGCAGGCTACTCTATGATTTTATTATGTGCAGTAAATTGTGGTACCACCGTAGATAAGCACCACCAATGCCACACAGAAATACAATTTTTGTGGCTATAAATTTATGTCTAAAAGTTTGATAATTTTTGCCCATTGAGAAGATCCGAGTAATTACCATATGGTCTTAATTTGGTTCATCAGCTAGGCTGTTCATTGCCTACACAATACAGCCATGCTACTGGCATCCTCCATATTTTATGGGCCGCTGTCCTGACATTGTTGACCTCTGTGTTTTCCAGCATGTCACTATGAGTTAACAGACCTGGTAGGTGTAATCACTAGTCCAGGGTGGCCAGGTGGTTACCCCCATCAGAAGACTTGTGAATGGACCATCAGTGTACCTCAGGACCACCAGATACAGCTGAATATTACTGACTTCCAGCTGGAGCAACATGCCAACTGTGACTATGACTACCTAGAGATCAGGTGGGGCATGGAGATTAGTTCAAAATTCACAAACAGCTCTCTTATTATGTTGTCTTAATGTTTTTCAAAGATTGGTTTTCCCGTCATTGCTAGTTGCTTTTCTGCCAACTTCGATTTGGATTAAATCTGCCAAGGGCAGGTTTAGGATAGGAAGTGGTACATGTGCCTATGTGAGTGCATGCATGTGTGTGCGTGTGTGTGTGAGAGAGAGTTGGGAGAGTAGGTCAAAAGGCTTTATCCATCTGTGGGCACTGACCAGTGTTTGTTGATTATTTCAGAAATGGTGGCTACGTGACATCGCCTCTCATCGGCACATACTGTGGTACCACCATAGATAACCCTATCCGTTCCCATAGCAACAGAATGTACCTCAAGTTCAAATCCGACGTCTCTCAGACTGCTCCAGGGTTCAGGATTTTCTATGATGGTTCGAGTACAGGTAAAGAAATCCAAAACTTTATGGCAGCTGTATTATTTTCACAAAGATAATTTTATTTTTGATGAAGGTTTGAGTTGTTGAGTTCCCTTAGTTCAGTGTTGTTTCTGATAAAGTATCATGGGTACAAATTTAACATTTTGAATTGTCAATTGACGCATATCTAAGGAACTTGCCAGCACATTTCAAATTGACATGTCAATTCATCCCTGAAGTTTAATTACAGAGCTAGCTGAACATGGCTTTTTTTCATGATCATCTTACTCTCATAATTCTTCTTCTAACATTATTATAATTCACCGTGCTAGGCTGTGGTGGTATACTAACGACACCTAGTGGCAGCCTAACGTCTCCCAACTACCCCGCGGCCTACGGACACAATGCTGAGTGTTACTGGATCATACAGGTGGCAGAGGGCAGCACCATACAGCTCATGTTCCTGGACTTTGATATTGAGGCTCACACCAGCTGTGCATATGACTATGTGGAGGTAGGTGGTGGTTGTTTGACATATGCGCTTAATGAAAAAACGGAACATTCGTCAATTGAATATAAGTAAGTCCAATGAAATTTGTGTAAATTGATATTGAAAATGGTTAATCATACGATTCCCACTGAGTTTGTTGAAAAGAAAGCATAACTTTTTGTGCCTAAATTTCCAGATCAGAGAGTCAGATGCCAATGGCGCCAGACTTGCCAGGTACTGTGGCGGGCAGACTCCGCAGGGGGTCAGTTCTAGGACCAATCAGATGTGGATTAAGATGAGGACAGACTACTCCAACAGTGGCAGAGGTTTCTTAGCTGGCTACAATGCCTGTAAGTTGTCAGACTGCAAACAGTTATTACCTTGCTTTCAACTGTTGAACAGTTACCTTGCTTTTAAGTGTTAAGGATTTTTAGCAGTTTATATGCAGAATAATAATATGACACCATATAGAGTACAAATAATTTTTATTATACTTCTGCATCATCAGAGAGTGTACCTCTTATAGATGTATGGAATTTATAGCATGTTTGTTTTTCATCGAAGAATATATTTACAGCATGTAACACAGCTCACTCACAAATATGGTGATATGGAGAATCCAAATACAGCAATATCCCATCATTTTTGTGTGTCACAGTAGCAAATCATCATATTTTCAGTATGTAACACAAGACTCACAGCCAGGCGGGGTGCTATAGAAAGTCCAAACTTCCCCCAGCCGTACCCCCATGCTAGGGAGTGTACCTGGGTGATAGAGGCTACCCTGGGGAATACTGTGAATATCTCCTTCTCTCACCTGGATATAGAGGCACATGGCACCTGTAACTATGATTATGTGGAGGTATGGTATTATTGTCTGCTATTGTCAAATAGAAGTCTAGTGTTTACGCTATGTTCCTTTTGGTGTATTATGTTTAAATGGAAAAAAAGTTTTTCATCCCAAAAAAATTTATATCTTATTTCATTTTTTAAAAGAAGGCAATGGAATAGTTTCACTTTTTGCAGTAGCCAGATTTTACTTTAAGAACATATTCTTGATAATGTGGGCAATTTTCAAAAAGAAAAATTTTATACTGACATTTTAAAACAAACAAACAAACAAACATTCATTGTGAAAGTTGATCAGCCTTCTTAAAGAGATTATATTATTAATAAAAAATTCCTGGACACATAAGATAAAAGGCAATATTTTTAATGACTATTTCTTTGAAACCTTAGATCAGAGATGGTCAAGACGAGAATGCAAACTCCCTGGGTAAATTCTGCGGCCAGAATGTGCTGCCCCCTGCCATGGCGTCCAGTGGACAGTACTTGTGGGTCAAGTTTAAGTCTGACGCCAGTGTGGCCAGCAATGGATTCAGACTGGAGTGGGTGATGAATGGTAAGTGACCACCTGGAACATGGTCAGTCTTTTCTGTTTCTTCTGTCTGTGTCTTAGCCCTTTATTTTATTGTCAAAGTCTAGTGGTCTCTCTCTCTCTCCCTCTCGCCTTTCTAATGTATTGATATACTTTGTGTTAAGTTCATGTAGTTAAGAGAAGATGGTATATAAAAGTCAATTCAGATTGATTTACACACAAGTGTGTGCGTGCATGCATCTGTGTGCACTTTAAACACTCACTATTTCTGCATTCCAGGCTGTGGAGATGACCTAAGTGGTGACACAGGTAGTTTCAGCAGTCCTGGCTATCCCAACCCCTACCCCCACCGCCAGGTCTGTATATGGACCATCACTGTGCCAACAGGAAAGTCTGTGGAGCTGACCATCAGTGACTTTGACCTGGAGTCTCATTCCAGCTGTAATTATGATGTACTGGAGGTGAGAGGGGATTGTTTTATCAAAAGTTCTTCAAACTAAAATATTTTGATACCAATAGCTCAGCTGTAAGCTAACATTATGAAAATGTATTAGTTTGTGTTTTAAAATTATCATATATGAGCCAACTACCTAGCTAATGAACATTTTTGCTCAGTTCTTTAAGCATTTTACATGTATTCTAAATCAATATTATATTTAGAATTTTTTTCCTTAAGTTTATCTTTGAAGGACCTTATACATTTTTTATGAAAAAAAGCATTATTTTGTTGCAATTTAATCATACCGGTTGATTTTTGTAGGTAATTTAGGTATTTGAAAGCATTTATATGGTAAAAGACATGTAGCTGTTTTATTGTTTCCTACTGGACAAGGTCTGTGGAGATGAGATTTTTCTAACTATTGACCTTTTGGGAGGCAAAAATATCATTGTCCTAGACAGCCCCCTGGACCTCAGACCATATTTTCCAACCATTTCACTAAATAGCAGGCACATCCCTGTTTCTGATAATATTATCAGTTTACCTGACATTTTCTGTGTCATCCAGGTATTTGGAGGTGTAGATGACACAGCACCTAGACTGACCCAGCTGTGCCACACCCAGACTGACCCCCAGGTGGTGCAGAGTACAGGCAACAAGATGTTCATCAGGTTTAAGAGTGACGTCTCCGTGAACGGACGTGGATTTACTGCCACGTACCAGTCTAAAGATGGAGGTGAGATGGTGGGCTGTTCTTTCAGACTTCCTAAAAAATCGTAAAGTTCTTAGGCTAATTGCTTAGATTGCTAAACTCAGATAGCTGATTTCATATCTTTGACATAGTGACAACGTATACAGAATGTTTAGCCCCCAGTGTTTACAAATGGACTACAGTTTCCAGTGAGGGTAAAAACCATCCAGAAAACAAGCATGCACTTGTGTACACACATGTATTATTTTCCTTTTTCCTAACTGATATCAGGATGATTTAGAAAGTTGGTGGGTTTGTGTGAAACTGTCAGTGACCTGGAGAAATTCAGGATAGATCCTTCTCTTTTAGCATACTTTCATTCCATCCTTTTATATATATTTTTGTTTTTCCTAAATGAAATCAGGATGTGGAGGTAACTACACCACCCCGACAGCCACCATCATGTCAACTAACTACCCCAACAACTACCCCAGTACCACAGACTGTCTCTACAAGATCACTGTCCAACCCAACAGAGTGGTGCAGCTGACCTTTGAAGATTTTGATGTGGAGACACACTCCAACTGCTCCTATGACTTTGTAGCAGTGAGTATACTTCTCATTTTTGATATAGTTTTAGTTGATATCTATAAACTAAAAACATATTTTTATGAAAGCTCTGTTGCCGATCATTACAAGTGATTTAGATATCTCCTCTTCCTTCTTTTCAATATAAAAACCATCTCTTATTTTCAGCTGGTTGATGGCACAGATGTTGATTCCAGTTGACTTTGATTTTTTTTTTATGATTGCTCAGATTTCAATCTTTGTGAGCAATTTAGATATCTCCTGATCCTTCTACTTTAGTATAATAAAAACCATCTGTTATTCCCAGCTCTATGATGGCCCAGATGTGAACTCCCCGCAAATCATGATCCACTGTGGCAATGCCCTGCCTAGCCCTGTCACCTACAGGAGCTCCAGTAACCAGATGACCGTCAGGATGAAGTCCGACGGCTCCATCACAGCCAAGGGGTTCAAGGCCACCTATGTGACAGGTAAGACAGGTAGAGAGCAGGTGTGGCAGAAAGTTTGAATTAAGGTATTTTTCTGGCTAGATTTTGAAGTCCCCACTATTTCCAAGATAATTATCCATATCAGGGTCACATAAAGATATATAAATCGTGGTGAGAGCAATTAACACTGAGATCTTAATTTCCCTTTCACAAAACAAGAGTCACAGTCTTAGTCACATATAACATCAAAATATCTACCCACAATTCCAGGCTGTGGTGGAATGTTGAGTGCAGAGACGAACGGCGCCATAACTTCCCCCAACTACCCGAATGCCTACGACCACAACAGTAACTGTTCCTGGATTATAACCACAGATCAACCAAGTAAGTGTCATTCTTATTCAGGGCCAGGTGGCTGTAGTTGTGCACTGCATGCCTTCACTGCATGTATTCATTGGAGTGTTTCTGCCTCTATGATGGCAAAGGATGATAAGGAAACAAATGAGTGGAAAAGTTTCCTATTAACTGTTGTAGTGAATGGTCTATGATTAAGTGTAACAGTTTTTTGCTGAATTCAATGCCAACTATTTTCCACCATTTAGGGCTGATGCCTCTTTGGACAAACAATTAAAATGTTTTTTTTTGGTGACAGAAAAGACAATGAAACATATTTTTTTGTGTAAGTACAATGATTGTTTTAAAATAATGCAGGATTTTAAAGTAAAAAAGAAAATGAAATGATAATAATTTGGTCATGTTCCTTCCAGCGGCCAGGGTGACCCTGATCTTCACTCACATGGACCTAGAGGACTACGCTAACTGCAGTGCTGACTACGTCATGGTTGCCGATGGCAACAACGCTAATGCTCCAGTCCTTGGAACGTATTGCGGCACACGCATTCCACCTGCCATTACGTCATTCAGTGGTGCCCTCTATGTGCAGTTTGTCAGTGACCAATCAGTTGGTCAATCTGGGTTCAGGGCAATATACAGCAAATCGTCCTCCTGTGAGTATTTTTATCTCGGTCAAATTCTCTTCTTGTGGATGTTTAAATCTAAATAAAATTCTCTTCCTATGAGATTATATATCTTTGTCAAATCCACTTCTTGTGAATAATGCATGTCTAGGTAAAATTCTCCTTGTTATCATTTATATCTTATAAAAAAAACAATCAAAGGGCCTCAGGCATGTGTCATGTTCATCATTGTGAGCCATGAAAGTAGGGAGGGTTTGGTCAGAGAAGACTTTCATTAGCTGTCTTAGGTTATTAGAATAAAGCAAATTTTTCTTCAATCAACAGCTAATTATTGAAATTGTTCACCTCCAAAATTTCAATGCCTATCAAAGCATGTTCATCAGGGAATGAGGCTGTCCAGGTGCAAGATGAATAATGGAAGTGAAGAGAGCTAGGATTTGTATTATATACTAAATTGTGTGCCATTTTCTTCCAGTCTGTGGTGGAGATCTGACATCCCAGCAAGGAGCATTCAACAGTCCTGGTTACCCAGATAATTACCCCAGGGAGACTGAGTGTATCTGGACCATCACTGCCTCCCCTGGGAACAGAATACAACTGGCTTTCAGGTAGATTTAGAATAATATAATAATGTATATCTCTGTCACTTGGGTGACTGTATCATCTCACAATAAAACCAAATTGAATGATTGTATATTTTTGTATAATGTATATATGTACTCAGTTAATTTTCATAAGTTCAATTTGTATTATATGTGATTGTCTTATTTATCTTCCTCTTTATTTATGCATTTTCGCTTTATTTACTTGTTGGTGTAATTTTTGTTGCATTCTCCACATGTTTATATTAAAACTTGTTATTCATGAATGATTCCAGCATGTTTAACCTTGAGAACCATTACCTGTGTAATTATGACTATGTGGAGATCCGTGATGGAGGCGTCAGCGGTGATCTGGTTGGGCGTTACTGTGGCACCAATACACCGTCTAACCTGACGGCCAGTAACAGCCTCTGGATCAAGTTCCGCTCCAATCAGGCCAACAATGGTCAGGGCTTCATGGCTGAATACACCACAGGTATTTCTGACATGTCATTGCAGGTCTTTTAATTTTGTGAATCTATGACATGATAGTTTGTATTTCAAAAAATCTTCAAAAATTTTCAAGAATTTTAAAACTGGGTTTTGGTTCTTGGTGGCATACACTAAATTAACTATTTGCTAGTTGAGAGTTGTAAGAGATCTGAATTATTTTTGATTCTCAGACAAAGATTAAACAAAACAGTGATGTACTTTCTCTTAGTGTTGCCTATAAACTATATTCATAATTCTGATTTATTCAGCTTATAATATTACATGTAAACATTCAGGCTTTCTATGCTCTTTCTAATGCTGCAACTGATTATGACAAAGAAAAAAGGTAATAAATAATTGAATATTTTCAGTATATGGAGGCCAGATCTCAGGTACTTCGGGTCAGGTGGCGTCCCCTATGTACCCCAGCCCGTACCCACACAATACAGAGGCGGCCTGGGTGATTACTGTCCCCTTGGGTCAAGTGGTCAGGGTGGCATTTGATGTCCTGGACCTGGAGACCAGCGGAACCTGCTACTTTGATTATGTTCAAGTAGGGTTTTCAAGAAAAATTGGTCTTTTTCACTTTTTGTATTAATTTCTATGTGTCTGTGTATTTTGCTACATTGTTATGCCATGTTGTATCAAGTCAGAGTTGCTAGCATGCCGTCTAGTACTCAAAATACATAGATGTTATGGCTCACATCTTATAAACTGTAGAATATTGATGTGTTTCTCCTCTAAATAATAAATGCAGTACATATTAAATGCTAAGTGTTGGTACCTGTGTCCAGTTAGACAATATATAACATATGTTAAAACATTAAAACTTGAAAACCTTTCAGTTTCGGGACGGAGGAGCTGCAGATGCACCACAAATTGGCAAATACTGTGGCACCACGGCACCATCACCGTTTACGTCGACAGGGAACCAGCTGTATGTGGCGTTCAAGTCTGACGCCAGCAGCACTGGACAGGGGTTCCTGTTTAACTGGCAGGCAGTGTCTACTGTGATCACCACCCCATCACCAACACAAGCCACAACACCAGGTGACTGTCTGGGTGTAACTTGAATATTGGCATTTCCAGATATGTCTGTCTGGGTGTAACTTGAATATTGGCATTTCCAGATGTGCTTGATTGAGTTAATTTGCACACAAATGCATGCACACACATGCAAAAGCACACACTAAGCCAGATTACCATTGCAAGAAACATGATAATTGTGACCTTTCTGCTCATGATGACATATAATACAGTAACTGCATATCTAAATTTCATCAATAGAAATAATTTATAGTAGTACACAAGATGGATTTTGCTTTCAGTGCCTGGTTGTGGAGGTGAACTGAGTGCCAGTGAAGTGGCCAACACTGTGGTCTCTCCAGGATATCCCAGTGGTTATGTTAATAGATTAAACTGTGTCTGGACCATACGCTCCACCCCAGGATATAAGATATGGTTTAACATCACCTTTATTAACCTGGAGGCACACTCTGCCTGCAACTATGACAAACTGGTGCTCTATGACAGTAAGTCGGGCATGTATTGATATTGTATAAGAAGACCTGATAGTGATAGAAGTGACAGTGTATAAAAAGAACCCTTAGTGATAGAAAGTGTGCAGCATGTGTGCGGCACACTGTATAGTGTGCAGTAGTATGGGCGGCCAAAAGGGCAAAAATTCATGTCGTCGATTCAGTTATGTTTCGTCGATTCATTGCCTTCCCATCGATTCAGTTTCAAGTTTAAACGATCCTGTCATAAATTCAACATCTACTTTCGTCAATTCAATTGTCAAACATTTCTCATCTACGGTGTATTAAAACCAATGCTGTCACTATTTTCGTCGATCGTGTAACTATTCTCGTCGATTGTCAAACTATTCTCGTCGAAGTGCAGAAGTGTACCACAATAAACTTTTTTATCCTACAACCTCACTACACATAAGTAAGATGTAATGTATGGTATTTTCTATGTCTCAGAGATACTTACAGTTTTGGTTATATTTACAGTTATCATATTGCTGCCTTTGAAGGTGTAGATTTTGACATAATTCTACAAACTTCTTGCTCTCTTTCTATCCAGATGATGCTGCATTTGGTCGAGTCCTTGGCACATTCTGCGGCCGCCAACCAAATACTGAACCTGTCATAGCTACCTCCAATGTCATGACTGCCAAGTTTACAACTGATTCCTCTGTTACCAGGATTGGCTTTGCCGCCAGTTATAAGACAAGTAGGTGATATTCGTTTAAAGCAGATTTTATGTTCTGGTAATTAAATGAAGGGGAAAATCAGAGTGGATTGATAAATTTCTCAGTGTTGCAAATAATTTAAACTATTTCTTATGAAAAGCTTGAAAAAATTAACTATTTTCTATTTGGCAGCGTTTTGGAATCAGATAATGAATAGTATTCTTTGCAAAGATGCATGAACTCATTTTTAAGATTCAACTGAGCATTGATGATTATTATTAAGGAGTTACCAGTTCAAATACTGGAGTTTTTTTTGTGCTTAATAAAGGTCTGAAGTTGTTGTGATTTTAACTATTTCTAGCATGTGGTGGTGTACTTGATGGACCCACAGGGGTCATCCAAAGTCCATCCTACCCTAACAACTACCCCAATAACGCCAACTGTACCTGGGTGATCAGAGTGACCAATGGAAGGACCATTAGTGTGGAGTTTGACACCTTTAATATCCAGTCTACGTCCTCCTGCAGTGGGGATGGCCTTATGGTGAGGTGTAGTCAGATCCATGCTAGAATATGAAATTTTAGCCAAATATGAAATGTTGAATAAAATGTTGAATAATAATCATTATAACTGAACACATTTCTCATATGGAATTTCACAATTAGAAAAATTTTGTGTAGAAATGTTCAGCTTTTTGACTAATAAAAATTATATTTTAATTATGATGGGCCTAGGTTAGCCCACCTAAACAGTGGCAGCTAAAAAATCTTTTCTTCAGGTGTTTTAATGCTACTGTTGTTACAGCCCTTATGTATTTTATGTCTGTTTATTTGACACCTTTGTCGCTTTATTTTTATGTACAGACACAGATGTGTCTGTACATATTGCCATCACCTGCGTCTGTCGTTGCCGTCGCCGTCGCCGATCATGTCGCCGTCGCCGTGCACTTTCAGCGTTAACACCATAAGTGGAAGACAGTTTTACTTTTTGGCTTTATATTTACAGAGCTGACTAATATTCATAAAATGTAGGTCAAGTTCGAAAATCAGCATGATCGGGCCATTATTGTAGAATTTATCCTGTTTTTTCACTTTTTAGCATATATGCAACACTGTTAACACATTTCAAGGAAAACCGATAGGCCTGTTGTCATGAAACTCACAGGAGTTATCAATCTTACTAAAATGCAGATCAAGTTCGAAAATCGGCATGATCGGGCCACTATTTTAGTAGTTATGCTGTTTTTTCACTTTTCAGCATATGTGCAACACTGTTAACACATTTCAAGGAAAACCGATAGACCTGTTGTCATGAAACTCACAGGAGTAA